GAGTCACCATCAATCTTTTTTATTTAGATGTGATTGGCCACCTAAGGAATCTATCCTCTTAAGGAGCTCCTAAGCTTGACTAAGAGTCCCTAAAAAAATAAGTTCGAGTCTACTAACTATAACAGGGTTCAAGAGTTCGATTACTGTGGGGAAGGTTATAGCAACCCCATATGCCCATCTGAAGGATTGTACCATATTATTTTAAAATCATCCTAGGATCTTGGTTCTAATGGTTTCAAATTTTTATGTTAAATATTGAAAATAATTTTTAAAATTTTCCATCAATCTGGTAGAACTCTTAAAAATATTTTATCACCTCAAGAGTATTCAAGGATCTTGTTTGTTTCCTTGAAGAGGCTTCATCGTCAAAAAATTTTTTGTTAGTTTTATTTTTTTATTGAAAATATATCTAATTATTCCACCATTTGGGCCACAATAGAAATATTTTCTTATTTTGAATTTTTAAATATTTTCACCATTTGGGCCTATTTAGAAATTCTTTTTAATTTTTTTTCTTGGAAAGAAAATAACATGACAATTATTTTTATTGAAATTTCATCTAAATTATTCCTCAATTTGGGCTAAATTTAGAAAAAATTTCTCACCTAGAGATTTCTTAAGAATTTACCATTTGAAATTCCTAAGAATCTCATCCTTGGATAATTGTCACATATTTTTAACCAAATTTTATTATTTTGAAAAAAAAATACAATTACTTGTATTGAAATTTATTCTAAATCATTCCATCATTTGGGCAAAATTTAGAGGAAATTTTTCACCTAGAGATTTCTTAAGAAATTTTTCATTTGAAATTTTAAGAATCTCATCCTTGGATAATTTATATTTAATTCCAAAAATTTTTATATTTTTGTGTTTTTTTTATATATTTTTTTAATTTTTTGTGGTTTGAAAATAAATATTAATTATTGCTATTGAAACTTTATCTAAATTATTCCACCATTTGGGATAAATTTAGACAAAATTTCTCACCTAAGAATTTTATAGAAATTTACCATTTGAAATTTTTATAAATTCCATCATTGGATAATTAATATTTATTCTCAAAATTTTTTATTTTATTTTTATTAAATTAAATCATACAAAAATACTAAAAAAATAAAAAATAAAAAATTAATAAAAAACAAAAAAAAAAAAAAAAAATAAAAAATGAAATGGCTCGGTTCGGTTGAAATTCGGCTCGGCTTGAGGCACAAAAAATGGCTCGAAGGCATGGTTCAGGGAATACGGCTTGGCTCGACTTGGCTAGAATGGTTGATTGGAACATGCATCAGTCAAGCGGATTACGATCGGATCGGATTGGCGAAAATAGAAATGCGCGGATCTTAGGTATCTACTAACGCCTAAAACGATGTCATTTTATGCTGGTATATAAAACTAAAATCTGATCATTTTCCTTTAGATTTCCTTTTCTTTTTCCCTCTCCTCATCATTTTCTCTCATTTTTTCTCTAACAGAACCCAGAATCTGATTGAATTTTCATCGAATTCTGGACAAATACGTTGGAATATGGAAAAATACGTCGAAAAATTCAAGTTTCGTCGAAAAATTTCGTCGAAATCTGGAAATTCCAGAAATTTTCCAGAAAAAATTTGCCAAAAAATTCCAAAAAAAATCCTAAAATTTCTAAAATTTGTCTATGCTTTTCTAAACACTTTTTGCTTCTATTTTCTCTTTGTTTTGTGTCTTCCTACCACTGATCAGTAAGGGTATTTATAGATTGAATTAGGAGAGTTCCTAATTAACTCTAAATCCCACATTTGATTGAATTTTTGCATTATCCCTGAACCTAAGGAAATTAAGATCAATTGTAACTCTGTCATCACCTCCAAACATGCCAGAATTTTTATTTATTTATTTATTTCTTTTTATTATCCTATCATTAACTAAAATGAAAAAAAAAAAATAAAGCCCATAAAAAAATAATAAACAATTGGGCCTGACACCTATATCTCATTAAGCCAAGTCTGATAGGCTGAGACCCAAATCCTATTGGATTATGCCCAATGAATTTGGGCCTGGACCAATTAAGGTGTTTACAATAACAAAAAAATTCAATAGAAAAATTAATAATTAAATAATCCAACCAAAATGAACAAGTAAAAAAATCAACAAAAAATTTGACTAAACTTACTCAGACTAGTTCGAAATTAATGAAAATATATATGTTCCAAATAAAAGAATAGTAAATCCAAGACCACTATAAGCATCTTCATAAAAGAAAAGAAAATTAAAATTAATACGTCATCCAAATGTTTCATCCACTTGTAAAATTTTCTTTTCCTCTTTACAAAGAAGTTTGTATATACATATATCTCATAATTCCAAATCAAAATGAAATTACTAAAAGAATATTTTACATAACATGCACATCATGTAAAAAATTTATGGGAACAAAAAGTTTTGGTTCTTTTTGCTGTGGAATTGCCTTAGAATTCAATCAAAGGAAACATAGAGCAGATCTTGTTTCAATTATGAAAACATAAAAGATGTGGTTGGAATCAAATAATTGCGTAAATAAGTAGCAATCACTCACAAAAATGAACTAAAATACAAGCTCAGTCTTAAAGGAAAAGCTTTCCATGACTAGAAAAAAAGATGACTTATTATTTGATAACCTTATTAGTGCATTCCTTATCTAGTGCCCCACAAACTCTTTCTTTGTCTTCTTCGGTTGTGTTTGGTTCATGGAAAATTTGAGAGAAAGGAAAATATTAAGGAAAATGGAGGGAAAAAGGAAAATGACAGAAAAGAAACCAATTTTCTCATTTTGTTTGGATGACAAAGAAAAAATCAAGGAAAATATTAAAAAAAAAAGAATGACTATACATAAATAGACACACTAGAAGTCTTAAAATCTTTGGCTTGTTAATTAATTTTCCATAGTTTTGTTTAATGAAAAATTATTAAATATCTTTTTTAATAACTTGAACTTTCATAAATCAAAATTTAAATTAATTTTTTCCTAAAAAGGAAAATAAATTTTTGTATAAGAATGTGATAGTTTTATATTTTATGTTACATCATTAATAAAAAATAGTGGATTTAAAATGTCGAAGTCCCTCAAAGCAAATGTCTTGTTTGAAAATTGAAATCATAAAACTTTTAAAGCTTGCAATAGCATGGCTTTAGATCTTTTAACACAGAAAACGAAACAAACGAGAGAAGATACCGCGAGTTCCACTATCTCGAAAAATTTTCCCTGCGGTTTCATTTTTTTTCCTCATATTTTTGTAAGGAAAGTGAAAAAAATAGTTATTATAGATTTTCTTTTAGATTTTTCATAAAATTTTTTCTCTAATTTTTTTTTCACTTCAATCAAACTCAAAAAAGTTGTTTTTAGAATTTCATTTTCTTTTCACTCAAATTTCCATCCTACCAAACAGGGCCAAAGTGATCAAAGCTCAAATTATTCATGGAGCTTGGGATATTTTTTTTCTAATCGACATCTACCTAATTCAATTCTACGTATACCCGAAGGATTGTTCCCTCTATACTCAATACCTAACTTGAAGAGAAAAAAATATGCATACTCACCTCACATGGCAAATATCTAACCATTTGATAATGACGAGTCTGGTTGCATTTCCTTTTATGAAGAGAAAGAGTTTGGAAATATTTACCCGTTCTTGAATTGCTTATAGTATATATCTAGCTAGTAGGATATTTTGAAGATATATGTGGAAAAACAAAGTTGTTTGATGTGTTTATTACGATCTCTACATATGCATGCATGTTCAACATAAAGTGAACTAAAATCAAATCATAATATACCGACCAAAAGCAGTTACATAAAGCCTACAAAGATAAAAAAATTGTTTAAAATTCTATCATCTTGAACAAACTTTTCTTTTGACGTTGAATCAATGATCAATACTATTGAACAACAGTAATGAAATAATAATTTTAATTACACATTTTTTTATTTGTGGTATACAAGAAAACAGGTTTATATGGTTCGAACTTAGGATTTTTACTCAAATCCCAACCTTTTTTTTCAAACCCAAGTGGTTTGTTTAAGCTTTAATATTGCCTTCTAAGTACATCACTAAGAAAATTTCCCATCATAACAACCAGCAGATTAGACCACATTAGGAAATATGCTATTAGTAATTAGATATGTGGGCCTGTGAACTTAAATACAAACTGATCATCTTACTATACAGATTATACTTCCACGTTTAGGAAATATTCCATGGACTTTTGCCCTGAGCATCAGAAGATAATGTTGCTAATTGTTTGGTGAAAAAAACTTACTTGCATCAATAAATATCATCCAGGAGATGATGCCTCCTTATGCAGCAGGTTTCAATCATGATAAGCAATTCAAACAGGTGAGAGTGCTATGAAATTTGGAATTTAATCACTTTGCATAATTGTTGCAAAGGATTTGAAGCAAATTTACAGCTCATGAACAAACAGGCTATAATTTCAGTCATAAAAATTAAGAGCTGTATAATTTACTTTTATCAATTTGTTAGTTAATTATGGTACAGTTCATAAGTCATGCTTAAGTGAAAGAAGATTAATGTTTCCTTAATTGCTTTCTAACTAGCATATACTAATTTGAAAACAATTGCAAATTTCATCATGCAAAAGGCATATTACACAATATACATGATACAACTACAATAATTTTAAGTTAAAAGTGCCAATTTCATTAGCAGTAAAGTTAATTGCTATAAAGCCAAAAGCCATGCGATATATTAGTGAGTGTTAGAGTCGTAGTTCTGTAATCAGGATTCAAACCTTAGCAAGCTCGACTATAAAAAAACAGTTAATTGCTAAATCATCATCTTATTCCCATTTTTAGCAGATTGTTCTTCCTACCAAGTAATTAAGCTAGAATTCATATATAGTTTATGCACTTCAATAATCCAGTAAAATATAATCTAAAAATGCCAAGCTAGGTCAACCATGGACCATCAATCAACTATATATGGTGTAATCAACAGAAAAAAAATCATTCCTTCATCAAGAACGCAGCAGAAATTCTTTTAAACTTCTTCATTACATAGAAAAACAAGGTGAGAAAAACCATTCCTTCAAGAAACATAACACAAATTATTGGTGGAAGAGATTTTGCCATGTCCGATGATCATGTCTCCATAAAAACTCAAAACACAGTTACCAACTTACCATATCAATGAATACATCACATAATTAAAAACTTCCACTTAAATAAACTGTAGTAATTATATTTATGCTCGATTGGAAGAAGGAGGTGAAGAGCACTCGCAAACTACCTCAGTTTCAACTTCCCTTCTATGGAAATTCCTGTGGCAGCCACACGCAGCACAAGTAAGGGCTGCACTTGTTCCTTCCTCTCCGCTGGCCATGAATTCCCTGCAACCATCAACAGCATAACCTCCGACGGCCGCTGCATGGTTCTTCTGGCACTCCCCATATCTCACACTCCTAACTGTCACTGAAGAATTGGTGGTGGTTCTTGGTGGCTCCTCCCTTCTCAGAACTACTTGTCGCTTCCTCATTTCGCGATCCCCAAACTCTTCCTCGTAACCTCCTACTAAACCCTTCTGAAACTGAACCACAATTATCAAATTTGATCAATGACCAACAATCATAATGAAATGGCATAAAAAAAAAAAGAAAGATTGAGACAAATTTAGCAGTACTGATACATAGAAAGAGAAGCAGAGCTTTTAGTCTGAGGTACCATGACCAAGCCCTAACCCTAGAGTATATATTTATAGCATGAAAACATTTCTTTTTGGACCTAATAATTAATGCCAGTAAGGTTAGCTTATTACTTTAATTTACTGTATAATATATTTTATTTATTTTATTTTCATAAAAAAAAAGTTTCATATGAAGATAAAAAAAGATGTTGCAAGTTTTGAAATTTGAATATCGGACTTATCAAATGTCACTTTATTTATGATGAATTGAGTTTTTTTTTTATTTTTTTTCTCACTGCTAGTAAACCCTAGAATGGTTGTTGTGCAATGATTGTCCAATAGCCTTAACAACTCAGTATAGCTTAGTGCTATATATTATTATAAAATAAAAACTATTACCATTAAGTTAAGGCAAACCCTAAAATGATGATAAAACCTTTTCTTTAATTCAAACCAGTGATTGGTTTAAAATGGAAAGAACAGCTAAGCTTTAGCTTTTTTTAAACCTAATTTATACAGTGTGGCCCCTAAACTGATGTTTAAAGGCATTGCCTCAGTGCTTTGATACAATGCCAATTGCCAACAACAATTGTCTCTACCTTGACCTAAAAACGTGAGTGATCTCATCTTACTTGTAAGCCTGCCAAACCTGTACAGAAAAAACTTGTTTATTTACTTTGCATGTAACATATCATTTTCAAGATATCATGCCACACAAAAACATTGCATGAGTACCCTTTCTTTTGCCGAACTCAAATTCCTGGAAAATTGTCGGTAAACTTAGTTTCATTATAAACAGTCTCTTACATTTTTATGTTTGCTTGTATGAAAAAACACTAAAATTGTTGCATTCAATTTGTCTAGCTACTTCGAATTAATGTGAGGAGGCTGTCGACTAAACACTGAATTCTTCGATTTTCACATTCAATTAGAGTTATAAATGTTGAGTTTTTTAGTTCATTTTTTTGAAGTGTATATATGATATTATTGTTTGATTAATTTAAACCTTTAATTTAGTTTATTTTCATATATATAGTACAAAGGCCGTAAATAGATTTGATATATATTAGGTTCCTGCTGCCATCATTTGGCTGAAATTGGTAACATCCAAAGGTTCTTTCTGTGGACTAATTTTTGAAGGTGGAAACACATGGATTTGATGCTAACATTCCATGTGCTGTAATGTTATTTACCAAACTTAATTAGTTCTATGTATTTTGATGAGGCTGCTTCAACAAATTTTCTTTCTTCTACTAGGAAATGGAAATGCGTTGATGGGAGAGTGTGCAATGTTGCACCCTGCCAAAATTTGCCATTTTTGATCTTAAGGTGGGAGGATTTTTTTTTTTCTAAGAGCTGCCTTAAAGGAAATTATGTGCATAGATGAACTTATTGGAACAGTGCAGCATATTCAATTGTCATTTTGAGAACACATAATGAATTGGATAGCTAACATTTGGGAAAAAAGTATTTTGTTTTATTGGTTGTGAGGGGGTGTTAGGTGCATGTTAATCTTAGTTGGTGCCAGTAATACGTTAAAAGCATTTTGGTTCACTGAATGTAAAGAGCATTGGATAAGATAAAACAAAAATAAAAATAATATGAAAAAAATCTGCAATGATAACTCTATCAGTGTGCTTCAAAAGAGATTAACATGTGATTAACCCAATTAATGAGTTGATTAATGATATGTTCACATTGAATGATTTTATTATAAAATCAAAATAAAAATGATCTAATTGAGCATATAAATTGCGTATTGGGTGGAGAAAATGTTTGACAATTCCTCAAATTGAAGTTGGATGGCGGTCCTTCAATGTGTATATTAATTAGTAGTTTAAGACCATTTTATTTAAGTGGGCACGGATTTATCAAATTAACTAACTCAATTATTGATAGGGACTTAAGTATTTGATTGCGTTTTTAGCTTAAAAAAAAGTATATGTTTATTTTTTAAGAAGATGTTGAAAAGATGAGACCTCTTTGCCCTCACAAACCCAACCTAAGTAGTGATGGCCACAAAATAATTTTGCCTTTTCGAAAAATTGTGATATCCTAAAGTGACATTAGAACTCACTGAAAATAAATCAACTTTGATCAAGAGAACCAATAATGGAGATTAGAACGGAAATCTTGATACAAAAATAGAAAGTTGGTGTTGATTGATGCAACTTGACAAAAAGGACTCTTATCCTCTCTGAAACTCTATTACTCTAATTACATTGCCTGCCACTCCTTCATGTAAAAAGCATCTGCCTTCAAAACTGTGTAAATAAAACCCTTTTGGACCACAAAATAACCAAGATTTTATATATTATTATTATTATTATTACTACTACCCAAGTCCAAATTCATTGTATAATTAAGAGAATTAAAATTTTTTCCCAAGTTGAGCAAACTCACTTTCGGCATATCCTCTTATTTGATAGGTTCATTCGGATTTAAGACAGACATTACGAATTCATTATCAAAGCTTGGAAGGTGGAATCTTTGGATAGCTGCTAATCACATTCAATTTGATGCCTTTTACCATTCTGGTTAAAAGTGTTGCCAACACCAAGATTGTGGGGACGTATGTGGTTCCCCGCTTGTAACCATGCTTGCCTGCCTGCCTGCCTGTAGATCACTTCATTTGCTATTTTAATCAATTGATGGATACTAATTATTGACTGTCTTGGAAACGCTTGTTAAGTTAATATTTTCAAACTTCAAAATTTATTTATTTAAATTATAAAAAATTATCTAATATGTCATAGGTGATTTTTTTTTAAGTTTCAATTAAAATCAAAGATTAATATTACATTTATATAATCAACTAAATAATTAAATTATTACTTCATAATTAAATTAAAATTATTGAATAATCAACTAATAAATTAGGACATAACTAAGACCCCACATAGTGAGATTTGAACTAGAGATATTCATGGGCCAAGTAGGACTAGGTTTGGATCAAGCTCATGTTTAGTATTTATAGCTTATATATTTGTTCAGACTCGGTCTAGCATGAAATTTTGGATCTCAAAATTTTTTTAAGTCTAACCTAAATTAAAAAATAAATTTCAAACCCACCCATTAAATTTAATTTATATAATAAAAAATTAAAAAAGTGTGATTAAATTAAGTTAGATGAGATTATATTTAATTTACATATATATAAAAATTATATAAAAAATTAAGTTTAATAAAATATATATAATTTTTAATTTAAATTTTATATTTATGTAAATTAATTTATATATAACTTACATAAATATAAAAATAAAAAGTTTTATATATATGTAAATTTGAGTCGGGCAGGTTAGGTTCAACCTTTAAATATTTTATCTAAGACTTAGTTTGAAATTTAAACAGACATAAAAATTATACCAAAATCTGTTTAACGGGCTTTAATTTTTTATTTAAATTTTCTTAAAACTTGGACGGACTCTCAATTTTGGATGGATAACTCGATCTTTGAATAGGTATAATTTGAACTTAAAACTTCAAAAAATTCTTATAGATGAAGTTTTTAAATTTTATTAACGAGATTAAAGGATTATCATATACCTTATTAAATTATATTTTAAAAAATTAAAAATTAATATAATAAAAAATGCATCTCAATATTTTAATTTTATTTGTCAAGCTTAAAATTTCAACCGATCGAATATTAAATAATAATGTTTAAAATCTAGTTATTTTGTGGAAATAATAATTTTTTACATAAAAAACGACGTTCAAAATAAAAGTTATTATCATTTAAAATTACATAACTTGAATCTCATGGAATAACTACTATATGAAGTAGATACATGTTATTTTCTTCTTATAAATGTGTACTTGCATAGACTTTTAATGATTGTATGCATGACAATACATTGAAAATGATTATCATTTCAAGCTAGAAATATATAAAACGTGAATGATATTTTTAACCAGATAAAATGTGAATCAGGTTTAAGAAATAATGGTAAAACAGTTTAGTAGGACACTCAACCTGGCACGTCTTAATTGGACCCATTGTTTTTTCTATTAGTAATATTTCATTATTCAAAAAGCAGTAAAATTGCTAAAAACACAATGCAAAGGACCCATTGTTTATATATGTTGGCTTTCTAAAATTTCATATTTATCAATAATTGCGTGATTTGTTGGAATCTTAGTTTTTGTTATCAAATTTTAAATTTAAATATTTACAATTGTAAATTTTTTTTCTAAATTTAGATCTCAGATTTGAAAAATATTTTAATTATCCTACTCAATATTGTAAATTTTCCAATCTAGTGAAAGAATTGAACATAATTAAAAAATTAAAAAAGGTATCAATTATTTTTGTTCTCATGTAAATATTCATGAATCTTAATCCCATACCTATTAGAGTATATATTACAATATAATTAGCTAGTAACGTCATTTAAAGAAGTAACATGATTGTACAATAACAAGGGAAAATGCTAACGAGTGCTCACCAAAAATAATTGTAATATATTTCACTATACTAATTATATTTCTTGAAAATATTTATATATCAATTCTACCCTATGTAAAAAGGATACCTTAAGGGATTTTACCTTGACACCTATCTTTTTTTTCTTTACTGGTCATTTAATTTTAAAGGTTCCTTTGCTTAACACCTGGATATCAGTCATATTTTAAACTTAACCCGTGTAATTGAAATTGACCATCTCTTAGACTCTTTCCCCTCAAAACGGCTTCCTTTTTACTTCTCTTAAATATCCTCGGTTCTTTCTCTTCCCTCGTTAATTTCTTTCCCTCTTGTTTCCCTCGACCTTTCCTTTGATCGCCTTCTTGACTTTTCCCTTTCTAACACTGATCAGTCTTTTTTTGTTGATCGTGCTTACAAGATCATTTCCTTCCATCTTCGTGCTGCCAATTGCTCTACTTGAAAACATGCTTCGCATCACAACTCCATTGCCTGGGCCTTTTTGCTTGATCTCACCACCAAGGTAAAACCTCAATTTTTTGACCGACGGTTGTAATTTTGTTATTTCATTCTTTCCTTTCAATCTTTTTGGTGTTTATGTGGGTTTTTTTTTTTATTGCAAGTGTTTTCAATGCTAGATTCATAGAGTCTTTACTACATCGC